AACTTGTTATCTCTGTCCAGTCACAATTGTGTAGCCTATTTACCAGTGTTTCTTTGCTGTAGTTTGTAGTTGACCTCATTCTTATTGTCCTGTGTAGGCCTATCCTATCCCTAGTGATTTTTCTGGTGCAGTAAATGATGAAATGATCACTAAGGCCTGTGGTAATGACGCCTGACTGACTAATGTTCTCAGAGCGGTTACAAAGTATGTGGTCAATTTGGGTGGTTGAGAACTGTGTGATCCGGGTTGGTGTATTAATTAGTTGAGTGTAACTATTTATACCTAGAATTTGCTTGTATCTTTTGCATAGCCCGTTGTTTACCTGCTGAAAACAGATACTGAAGTCTCCCAGTATTACTGTCTCGCAGTTGTTTTCAAGTCCGGACAAGACTCTGGAAAAGTCTTCTAAAAACTGATCATGGGTGGGAGGGCGGTAATTAGTTCCTACTAAGATGGGTTTGGTCTCGGGAAGCAGCACTTCAAACCATAGGATCTCCAGTTTATTGTTATTTAAATCAGGTCTTGGGTGGTGGGTTATGTAGGCACATACCCCACCACCTTTTCTGTTCCTATCTAAGCGTTTTATATTGTAACCTTCTATTTTGACTTCGTCGTCAGTCACCGTATCATCCAACCAGGATTCAGAGATAGATAAAACTGCCGCCCTAGTCTGTTAGCTAAAATCCTAATCTCTGAAAATTTTGGAAGAAGTGATCTTGCGTTGACATGAATAAAGTGAAGGTCTGTTTTCATAAAACAATTATAATCATCAATATATGGCAATGGTCATTTATATTAAAATTAGGTAAATCAATGTCATCATTGCTAAAGGGTAACTGTGCCAAAGTGCATTTGTTACACACAAAATGAATTCTGGCACCGTTACTATAATTGTACATACATCCATTATGCACCCACCCCTTACACATTTTACATAAGGTGTCTTTCCTGTTCTTCTTTCATACCTTAGTACAGTGTATGCACCTGTTTGGTGATGTTTGAGATAATAATAATGGCTGCATTGTCTCATACTGACCTATGTATGCATTATATATGGAGTTAAGGAGTGGCCCGGTGGCCTGGTGGCTAAAGCTCCCGCTTCACACACGGAAGGCCCGGGTTCGATTCCCGGCGGGTGGAAACATTCGACACGTTTCCTTACACCTGTTGTCCTGTTCACCTAGCAGCAAATAGGTACCTGGGTGTTAGTCGACTGGTGTGGGTCGCATCCTGGGGGACAAGATTAAGGACCCCAATGGAAATAAGTTAGACAGTCTTCGATGACGCACTGACTTTCTTGGGTTATCCTGGGTGGCTAACCCTCCGGGGTTAAAAATCCGAACGAAATCTTATCTTATCTTATCATTCCTAGCTACTAGACAGTCATTATCACTGTCACTTATATGTCTGTTTTGCCTCTGCACAATAGTTTGAGGTCCTGGATTAGTTTGGATATCGCCACTTAACAGTGCCACTATAAGAGATGTGTGCCAATGTTTTTGTATGGGTATGCGGTGTTGCCATACCAAGTGGTGATAGTGACATTTACGTTTCTGGTAGGATGGCAACTGTTGGGCTTTTACTGTCCAGGGTGATATTACCCCATTCTGCTTTTCCAGTCCCCATGACTGATTTCTTTCTTTACGGAATTGCAGGAGAAAGATAAATATAATTATGACAGCCTGTACCCCCCCCAAATGCCTGCCATTTTCAGTCTTCACTTTTTTAATCATACACAACAATATTTATTTCTCTTTTCCAGTCACCAGAAAATCCTACTAGCTGCTCTAGCAATCATAACTGATTACTAGTAAATTTCCTGGTATCTACTTCAAAACCCTCTTCACTCCTCACTTATCCCTTTACTTCACAAACCCCTTTCACTTATCCCCTTATTTCACACCCCCTTCACGCCTCACTTCACAGTCCGGTTTCACCTATTACACTTCTAATTCATTTCCATTCTGACAGGACCATAAAATTTTAATCATTGGTTTTATCCGTCCAAATCCCCCTCAAGTCCATTTATCGGGGTTGTGTCGTGTTGTTGACTGCCTGACCTGGTCTGCTGTCTCAGCCATTTTTAAAAGCACTGAGGGAAGAAAACGCCACCTACAACCTGACTTTCCTTGAATTTTATAGATAGATTTGGCGTTTTCTCCTATGATTCTCTCACTGTACACTGGTCAGCTGAAAATAGGTCAGCTACTAAAACATTAACCTTGGCTGTTTAACTATTCACTTCTTTCCCACGACTGGCACTGAGGGATAACCGTCCTTTATGATAGTTTCCTTGGAGTTTTGTATTGTAGATTTCGATGTCTCCTGTGTTTCCCTCTCGTTAACACTGGTACAGGTGATATGATGGTGGTACAGGCGATATGATGGTGGTACAGGTGATTTGATGGTGGTACAGATGATATGATGGTGGTATATGTGATATGATGGTGGTACAGGTGATATGATTGTGGTACAGGTGATATGATAGTGGTACAGGTGATATGATTGTGGTACAGGTGATATGATGGTGGTACAGGTGATTTGATGGTAGTACAGGTGATATGATGCTACTGTCAGTATATATGAACGTCAGTATAGATGAACGTCAGTATAGATGAGAACTTCACTTCGCTAGTTGTACGTCTGGCAGTAGCTGGTGTTTGAATGCCGATCAGCCATGTTTAAATGCTCAGTTCCTTCCCTCATTTGGCACTGAGGGAAAAAACAGTCCTACAGACCTATCATTTCCTTGAAGTTTTGTTGTTAGGTTTTCTGCCATGTTGTCTTCCCGTTGAACACTGGTGCGGTTGATATGGAGGTCAGTTATTTCAATGTAGCGGAAAAGGTCGCAAGTCTGGTTCACGTCTGGCAGCAGGTATGGTACTTGAATGCTGGTCCCTCTTTTGGTCATATTTAGTCCATTTCATTGTCGTCACCGACAGTTTTCATGTCACTATACGTTCCTTGCATATTGTTGCAGCAGTACTTACAATTAGGCCATCACTGGAGCTCGGATAGGGCCAGGGGACGGCAAAATATAGGAGCAGCCTTGTTGCTGCTTGTTGCCACTCAGGGAGAAGTAAGTTTCTTGCCATGAGAGGTCCTCCGTATTTTCAACCCAAAATTTCTATAATAATAATAAAACGAATAAAAATAAAAATATACTGCTACTACTACTAATAATAATATATATTTCTACAAGTACTTATGTAGACATAGCTGATATCGTTGACATACTATATAGAAAGTCCCTTGTTATGAGGAGCATTTCGGGCAACGTAGGTTAATTTTGTCCCTAGGATACTACCAATACCAGTCGAATAAAATCCGGTACCTACTTCCTGCTAGGTGAACAGTGACAGCAGGTGTCTGAAGGAAACACGCCCAATATATGGTTATAATTATTATCATGGTTTTTAAAAAGGTGGACCGGTAAGCCAGAAGTCCGCGGACAGATGACTAAAATCTCAAGCTGTGGGGTCATCATACGACTAAGACACGCATCAGGAAACACTTGTCATATGTCCTGACAAACATTATACATGCAAAAGAGACAACAGAGAACACAACAGAAACTCTCGCTATGAACAGCATAAGCCTAGCTGCTAGTCAATATTTCTATATTTATCTATATTTGTAGGCTTCATGGAAGCCTAGAAATTCTGTTTAGATTCGTTCCTGTAAGGAAATACACTAAAATAAGGAGGCAACCAACACGTTTACTCTCCGTGGTGAATTTGATTTATATTTCTGTCGAGTCTTCTAGGTACGAAAGATAACATATAGACAGTGTGATATCACTGCAGGTGCTCCATGAACTGCACTAAAAGGTGAGCCAATGGCCATACATACAGGACCTGTACATAGTCCCAAAACAATAATTAGTTAATTCCAGTACACAGGTTGATAATATAGAAAGTAATTTTAAGTAGGAAATAAATGTCAAGCTCATTGAAATTATTAGTTTTTATGGCGTGTTCACACTAGGTGTTACAGCAGGTGGCACAGGTTTTTGCAAGAGGTGATACAGAAAATGTTTCAGCAGATGTAGTTTGTGTTGGTGATAGTGATCACATCTTGACATAGCTCATTTGTTAGTAGACTGAGCAGCATAACGTATGGTACTGAGTTTCTCTGAATGTTTAATGATTTTCTTCAGCGGTGTTCTGTGTTAGAATAACAGATGATCTCTGGGTTTCTGCTACGTGTCCTCGCTGTCTCCAGTGTTGTACTTCAGGAACCTCACAAGGATTAGGTTCACACTTGATAAAGCTCACTTTTAAGAAAGGCATTCTCCATTACATACTCAAGTGTCTTTGCTACACCCACAAGTCATCGGATAGACACTTGAGCTGCTAGTTACTATTTATTTACGTCGAATACCTTCTTCGCAGGGCACGTAATCACCGAGGTTACAACACAGGAGCGTTGTTGTCTGTACCCCATCATACTGCCAGGGACCTTCACACAGTCTGTAGTACAGGAACACCTGTTGAAGACAATTACAAAGTGAATATCACTAAAAAACATAAATGAGTTAAAATTAGCACTGCAGTAGGCCTCCTGGCCAATGGTAATCGGATCCTAGTAACACAAAAATATTTAAAATTTTATATCTAGCATATATTAATAGCTACTAAAGATGTTGGTTTAAGAGTTATTTTAAGCATTATTGCTAAGAAGGTTTTTGTTGTGGGTTGGTCAATGTGAGGTTACTGACTTGATGATTCAGTCTCCTTACACTGGTGTAAGATTGTGTCACATACCCAAGTGAGTTATAACCTGGGAGATTTTAAATAACAAACTTTTATTCCACCGCGGAAAAAAAAGCTTCCAGAGAGAGAGAGAGAGAGAGAGAGAGAGAGAGAGAGAGAGAATCGTTTCCATGACAAAAATATTTATGTGCTACGCATGTCCTGATTACATATTCCTAAAATAATGAATTTTCTTAATCACGCACTTTAAGCCTTCCCTGCGGTCTCGTGTCCCTGAAAACGTACCTCTCCTGGACCGTAGTTTTCATGTCCCTCGCTAGTTAACTGTTGACATATGTGCTGTCCAAGGGTCACTCCATCCTCAAACTCAGTATCCAGATCTCCATTGCCAGTTATTTCGTTCCACTGTAAACAAAAGTAATTTTTATACATTAGAATATACATTAGATAAACGACGTCGTAAGCGGATAGGTGCTAAATTAAATGATACTTCAAATAGTGACAACTTTTATGGTCCCTTAGAGAGAGAGAGAGAGAGAGAGAGAGAGAGAGAGAGAGAGAGAGAGAGAGAGAGAGAGAGAGAGAGAGAGAGAGAGAGAGAGAGAGAGAGAGAGAGAGAGAGAGAGAGAGAGAGAGAGAGAGAGAGCACTTCGCCGTATCTCGCATCTGCTTGACAGTAGGGGTTGCAAGATCCTGTACGAGGCACAAGTACGCTCACACCTTGAGTATGCTCCACTTTCTTGGTTTGCCTGCCCCCCCCTCTCATCTGCGACTGCTTGACAGAGTAGAGAACAGAGCAAGACGTCTCATCTCTCGCCTGGACCCATCCTGGATAGATCTGTCATTTCAGCAGAGCCTTCAACATAGGAGGGATGTGGGTGGCCTTACTGTTATGTACAAGGCCAATATTGTCAAAGTACCACACTTGGATCCACTTCGAGGACAGCGTGAAACAAGCTTTTATGCCACAAGACGGGCAGAAAGCAGCAACTTCACTCTGGCTGTACCCTTCTCCAGAACATCACTCCATCTGAGATCATACATACCCAGGATGACTCGAGCATGGAACACATTCGTACAGCATAATTATGTCAACGAGATAAAGTCAGTTGATCAAATGAAAATGCTGGCCCACAGATGGCTCCAACTTCATCCTGTTCCCTACTTGTATGTCTCATAACAATAAAAATGCTTTCAAATGAGTTGATGTAGGTAACAGCTCTTAGCTTGCCAATGAAGATAGGAATACTTAACCTGTAAATAGCTTGTCAATAAAGCTAGGGATCCTTAACCTTGTCAAACCCTGTGTAAAAAAAAAAAAAAAAAAAAAAAGAGAAAGTTTAAGCGACTAACCTCTTCCTCACAAAAGGCTGCACACTCCTCTTCTCCACTTTCACAGGTTTCCACGGGTTCTGGGGGAAAGGGTATCACTTCCAACTCTCCTTCAAATACATCAACGAAGCCACCACAGTGACACTCTGGTTCTGGCGGTGGCTGAGCCCTGCAGTAAGACAAGCCCTTTAGTTTGTTCTCATTAAGTAAACTGGAAGTTTGTTTAGCCAGCATGTGATAGATTTGTGGAAAGAATTTTAAGGTTTCCGATTCTTCTATGGTCGAAACTGCTTGTGGGATAAAAGATGAGGAACTGTTCTTACACTACAATAAATATGTGTTTTGTCCAGTTTTCAAGAGAAAACTGGACAAAACTGGACACTTCAAGAGAAAATCTAAACAACTGCCAACTTGATTTTTATAATGTTTATGCAGCACTAGAATACAATGATACAATGATCTGCAACATTTATTGACGTTGCACTCATCCATGAATGACATCACCACTGTCACCAGCCTCTTCCTCGTTGTATTATACAAAAGTCTATTGTAAACACTAAAACAAAAGCTTCGTCACCTTTCTGCTTCGATACATTTCACTTTTAACATCCATTGCTGTTTTATTTCCAAAGATTCCTATCAAAGAAATAATTTACTGTCATTCAGGCGCAGATGCCTGTCATAGACAAATCTGGCGATACATAAGAAATAAATCTGGGAATACTCTGGAAATATCAGTTCTGTGTTCACTTTAAGCATCTTTCTTTCATACAGTCTACCAAACTCCTCCATTAACCACTAAAACCTATCTTCAGAATTTCCTAAAAGCTCGGAGTTGGTAGTGAAATAAAGAATCATGTTTAACACTTTGTATATTTATTAGATGTGTCGCCCTTATAACTATACTGCGTCATCAGCAAATATCAATTGTGAAATGTTTTCTTTATATCAGAATCGCTATTTAGTAAATCCTATTTTTTCCTAGCTGTCATTTGTATTTTATTAATATGAAGTATTACACCTGTGTTGGTGGGTGAGTGGAAGGAGTGATGAAGTCTCGATCCTTCGTCAGTGAGGCAGAAAAGCTACTCTCCCTGCAAGGCCAAGATAATAACTTTTGCAAGCAAGTATTAAAAATAACAAAGGAGAAAACAGAAAAGCAATGGTGCACATTTTAACAATGGTGCCCTGATGGAGGTGAAGGATAGTCTAAGAAAAATCCTTTCTTGGAGAAAAGCTTATTACCTCCTAGATCCCGGGAGTTTTATAACCCCTGCGGGTTTAGCAGTTCCCGAGAATACATCTGTAATAATTTAGTGTAGCATAGTCACCATGTGAGGGCGAGGAAGGGAAGAAGAATGAGTAGGAACTTCATCTTGCTGGTTGATGATGTGTGAGGAACAGAATGCAGCTAGCGCATTTATACTGCCTTCCTGCCGTCCCCTCTTGGTGGTCGTTCCTGCCCTCCCCACTTGGTGGACCTCCTGCCCTCCCCACCTGGTGGAGAAGGTCCAAGGTGACACAGCCACCTGCCTCTTCTCATCCATCCAAAGTTTTTTCATTTTGCATCGCCGTTAGCAGGAACAAAATCTGATAAGATTTTTTTACAGTAGTCATCCTGCTTGGCGACACCAACACATAGCAACCAACTATTGAACAGCATACCTGGAGTATATCTGGAGAGGGTTCCGGGGGTCAACGTCCCCCTGTCTCAATCTGAGACCTGGCCTCCTGGTGGATGAGGGTCTGATCAACTTGGCTGTTACTGCTGGCCGCACGAAAACTGACGTACGAACCACAGCCCGGATGGTCAGATACTGACTTTTGGTGCCTGTGCACTGCCTTCTTGAAGACAGTCAGGGGTCTATTGGTAATTCCCCTTATGTATACCGGGAGGCAGTTGAACAGTCTTGGGCCCAGGACACTTATTGTGTTGTCGTTCAGGGTACTCCTGGCACCCCTGCTTTTCATTGGGGAATGTTGCATCGCCTGCCGACTAAACAGATGACAGCAAAGAGACTGAACAGTCCCTGGCTAACACCCAGCATTCTCAAATCCATAAATACAAAACACCAATATGAAAAACAGTACAGAATGGGTCACATAACCAGAGACCAAACAAAACGTTACTCGTCAATCCTAACCAGCCTGATAAGAAGGGCAAAAAAATTGTATTATGAGAACAGATTATCCAACTTACGAGGTGATATAAAAAAGACCTGGAAAACCCTGTCAGAAATTCTGGGAACAAAAAAGATATCACGAAATAGCGAAATAAAATTAGCAAAAACAGATGAACCCCAACTCCCACCAACAGAAACAGCAAACAGACTCAATGATTTCTTCTCCACTATAGGACAAAACCTTGCCAATAAAATCCCAAGCTCAGATACCCCACCAAATGACTACCTCACCGGCAACTACCCGAACACACTGTTCCTAGCTCGACTAACCCATACGAAGTCTCCCTATTATCAACGCCACTAATAAAAACAAGGCAGGAGATTTAAATACCTTACCACCCATTATATACAAAAAAGTGTCACAAGTGCTATCACCAATCATTGCAACACTCTTTAACAAATCATTGATCCTCCACCTTCCCTACAGTACTCAAAATAGCAAGGGTCACCCCGATCCACAAAGGAGGAGACCAAACAGATGTTGAATAACTATAGGCCAATATCCAACTTACACCCTCTCTCAAAAATCTTCGAAAAATTAATTCATAAACGAATCTACTCCTACCTTATCTCCCAAAACATACTCAACCCCTGCCAATTTGGATTCAGGCCTAATAAAAATACTAATGATGCTATTATACACATGCTAGAACATATATACACTGCAATAGAGAAAAAAGAAGTCCCACTGGGATCTTCATTGACTTACGTAAAGCTTTTGATACAGTTGACCATGACTTGCTCCACGTAAAATTGTCACACTATGGTATAAGAGGGCACTCCCTCAACTACCTCAAGTCTTACTCAGCAACAGAAGCCAATATGTGTACGCAAATGGGGCAAAACTCTTCTGCACAACCAATTACAGTTGGTGTCCCACAGGGAAGTGTCCTTGGCCCTCTTCTCTTTCTCCTATACATAAATGACCTTCCAAATGCTTCGCAATTACTCAAACCCACACTATTTGCAGATGACACTACATACGTCTTCTCTCACCCGAGCCCAGTCACGCTAGCCAATACTGTAAATACCGAATTACAGAAAATATCTACCTGGATGAGGACTACAAACTTACACTAAACATTGACAAAACCTACTTCATTCAGTTTGGTAACAGAGCTACAGATGTCCCTCTTAACATAATGTAAATGGATCACCTATCACAAAACTAACAGAGGGAAAATTCTTAGGAATCCACTCTTGATAATAGACTCAAATTTCATACACATATACATCAAATTTCTAAGAAAATTTCCAAGACTGTAGGCATACTATCGAAGATACGGTTACTATGTTCCACAGTCAGCCCTCCTGGCCCTATATCACTCTCTTATTTACCCCTATCTCACCTATGGAATTTGTGCATGGGGCTCAACAACAATTAACCATCTCAGACCACTAATTACCCAACAAAAGGCTGCAGTTAGAATGATAACAAATTCTCACTACAGGCAGCACACTCCACCAATATTCAATACACTAAACCTACTCACCATACAAAACATCCATACTTATTACTGCACCTATTACATACATAGAACACTTAACTCTGATATTAACCCTCCCCTCAAACATCTCCTTGCCAACCTCAACAGAACACATGACCATAACACAAGGCACAGATCACTCTTTGATGTTCCTCGTGTCCATCTCACACTATGCAAAAACTCAATGCACATAAAAGGCCCTAAAATCTGGAATTCATTACCTGTAAATATAAAAGAAACACAAACCTGTTTTATAAATTCAAGTCTCTTCTCAAAGATTACTTACTCACCCAAAACCAAATAAATACTGAATAACTGAGCATTATAAATTGTATATCTTAAATGTTTCTCACAATTATATCACATAAATGTTAAACCTAAAACCCAATCTAACTTTATTATTTTTTAAATACACTACCTAACAGAATCACTACCTAACTGAATGCAACCATATGACCTGTCTTTGTAATACTCACTTGTGCTTTATAGTTATCTGTTTACATTAATGTTTTATCACTGATTTCATCATTGCTTAGTAGCAGCGCTGTATAGTCCTTGTGGCTTAGCGCTTCTTTTTGATTATAATAATAATAATAATCATTGCTTAGTTAATCTTAAGTTAATTTTAAGCCAGCCCGTAATGCTATGCATAGTATAAGTGGCTTTGGCATACTGCTCTTATCTGTATTTTTTTTGTACCTCTGTATGTGTGCACAAATTGGAAATAAATAAATAAATAAATAAATAAAAAATAAAAATAAATAAATTTGGTACTAATCTCAAGTTTTCCTTCAGTAAACAGTCACATTAGTTAAAACTTTGAAGTAGGCAATATTCTACAGTACTTTCTTCCAAATCAACCTGAACATACCAGATTGTCCGGCCTACTGAAGACTCACATCCCTCTATCAAACTGGGCTTATGTAGTGTCCTGCACTACGAGAGTCTCCCTAAGTTATGCTCTGCATAACCAGGGGCCTTCAATATAGTAGTATGTCATTGATGTTATCTAAGTCTGTATACCTTGTAAATGTACTTGTAGAAATATATTATCATCATTAGATTATATTATCATCATTGTTATTATTAAAACGATGGCTAGTAACCAGAGAAGACGCCAGAGCAAAAGCATCATGGCTGACCCATAAACATGCAATACCATTAGCACCCACCCTCAGAATTACCTGCTCTTCACCTTGCAAACAATTGGCCTAATGCATAGTTATTACTAAGTCAAACATAAACAAGAGTGTGGATATGTAACCAAGAATGAAAAAAAATATATGGAAGGGCAAACGTCCTGTTGTCTGTAATGAAATACTGTATTTAATACATTCAGAACCAGTTGTGAAATTACCAGGTTTAAGCTTATGGACAATGAAGTCTCTCACGCAAAACGTAATTTCCTGATACGTAACTGCCATGCTATGTGTTTACTGTTTTCCAAAAAGAATTGTGATGAACACTTGTTGAGGAGAAGGAAGATAAGATAGATAAGATTTTGTTCTGATTTTTAACCCTGGAGGGTTAACAACCCTGAATAACAGAAAGAAGTCAATGTGTCATCGAAGACTGTGTGTCTTATTTCCATTGTGGGTCTTCATTATTGTCCCTCAGGAAGCGACCTACACCAGTCGGCTAACATAAGCCTTACTTACTTGGTGAACGGGGACAGCAGATGTAAGGGAACGTCCAATGTTTTTACTTGGCGGCCGGAGTCGAATCGCTGACATTCATTGCGTGATGCGAGAGCGTTGCCTACCAGGCCACGGTAAGAAAAATCCAAGTGCAAAGAGAAAATACGTAAACTTGAAAAAAAAATCTTCCTGTATATGTCGACCTGTAACTGAGGTATTCATCAACAGAGACATGAGAAATACTTGTATTGTACTGGGAAAATTGCCTACCAGGGATCGTTGACATAAGACGACAGGGAACGCCTGCACAGCAGTGGTCTCTATGAACACTTGTAAATATGTGATATACGTTATTTCTATGTCTGACAATACTAAGAAAGTTCAGTGACTAAACTTTTCATTTGCGCTTCAGGCTTTACCAGTCGAATACAGAGATCATTCTCACTCCTGGAGACATCAGCACTAGCGGAAGACGAATCGAAGAAAAATGGACTGATTATATCAAGTTACCTCTTCATTATGTCTTACACCAGCATTGAAGTCTTGAGGACTGAGATCATTTAAGCATTCGACTGGTATTTTATACTACATATAATACGACTTGTAGGTAGTAGGTTAGTAGACATGAACCTCCCAGGAAGGTACTACCGTCCTGTGGTAGCAGGTTGGTAGACAACAATCACCCACGGAGGTACTACCGTCCTATGGTAGCAGGTTGGAAGACAACAGCCACCGAGGGAGTTACTACCGTCTTGTGGTAGCAAGTTGGTATTCAACAACCAGCTACGGGGGTACTACCGTCCTGTGGTAGCAGGTTGGTAGACAACAACCGCCGAGGGAGCTACTACCGTCCTCTGGTAGCTGTTTGGAAGACAGCAATCACCCAGGGAGGTACTACCATCCAGAGGTAGCAGGTTGGCAAACAGCAACCACCCAGGGATGTACTACCGTCCTGTGGTAGTAGGCTGGTAGCCGACAACCACCTAGGGATGTACTACAGTCCTGTGGAAGTAAGCTGGTAGACAACAACCACCCAGGGAGGAACTAACGTCCTGTGGTAGTATGTTGGTAGACATCTACCACCCAGCGAAGTACTACCGCCCTGTGGTAGCAGGTTGTTAGACAACCACCAAGGGAGGTACTACTGTCCTGTGGTAGCAGGTTGGTAGACAACAACCACCAAGGGAGGTACTACCGTCGTGTGGTAGTATGTTGGTAGACAGCAACCACCCAGGGAGGTACTACCGTCCTGTGGTAGTAGGCTGGTAGACAACAACTACCCAAGGAGGTACTGCCGTCTTGTGGTATCAGGTTGGTAGACAGCAACCACCCAGGGTGGTACTACCGTCTTGTGGTAGCAGGTTGGTAGACAACAACCATCAAGTTAGGTACTACCGTCCAGTGGTAGCAGGTTGGTAGATAGCAACTACCCAGGGATGTACTACCGTCCTGTGGTAGTAGGTTGGTAGACAGGAACTACCCACGGAGGTACTACCGTTCAGTGGTAGGAGGTTGGAAGACAACCACCCAAGAACGTACAATCGTCCTGCCAGACGAGTGTGAAACAGAAATCGTATTTGTTTTATACAATCGAAGGATTGCTGGTGTCTTTTCTTTCTGTCTCATAAATTCGCAGCATAACAGATACATCTTGCCACTTCTAATTACATTTAGGTCACACTACACATGCATGTTCACGGATATGTATATACACCCATCGGAGTTTTCTTCTATTGTCGTAATAGTTCTTGTTCTTATTTATTTCCTTTCATCTCTATGGGTGAGTGGAGAAGAATCTTTCGTCCGTAAGCCATGCGTGTCCTAAAAGGCGTCTAAAATGCCAGAAAAAGGGGGCTAGTAACCCCTTCTCCTGTATAAATTATTAAATATAAAAAGAAGAAAACTTCATAGTTTAATTTTTTCTCGGGTCATACTGCCTCGGTGGGAAATGGCCGGTGAGTTGAGAAAAAAATATAAGTACAATACCTATGTCTGATCACAAGGTCTGGTATGAGGAACAAGATCTGGTACTAGTAGGGACAAGTCGGAGGGGTGTTAAGCACAGTACCTACACTCTGAAGGAGGGGTGGGAATGTTGTAGTTCTGGAGGTGTAAGCACAGTACCTACACTCTGAAGGAGGGGTGGGAATGTTGCAGTTCTGGAGGTGTAAGCTCAGTACCTGCACTCTGATGGAGGGGTGGAAATGTTATTTTTCGGAGGGTTACTTGTACCGAGATCTTTATTCTTCAAGAGAATTAGTGAATGAGTGATGGTGACTGTGTGTTGTTCTCCGTGATAATAAACCTTGATGGGAAGGTGGGAAGGGAGTTGATTGCTCTTCCACGTAATTAGTTTGGAGTGTTTTTTGACAAAAAACCTCCAGTTAATCACAGTGTCACAGTGAAAGTTACGAATCTCTAAAGAAGTTAATGAACTGGTCATCATGTCCTCGAGACCCAGTCTAATAATTTTTCGTGAAGGATAAAGTAGCAGTGAAATACATTTTCTAATCTGCTGTAAAAGACCGTAAGGAAAAGCCGATATATTCAGTACTAGTCTTACTTTCTGTGTCACTGTCTGCTTGTGGCTTTGGATGGAGTAGCAAGCAAATGGATAACAAATGTGGGAACAAAGCAAAAAAGCTTAAGAAATAAAATCTTTATTGGAAAACATTTTTGAACAATTGTGGGCTTAATTATTTTTTCTTCTGTAACAGCAGGTGTCACAGCAGGTGTAACAGCAGCTGTCACAGCAGGTGTAAGTTGAAGTGGTGACAGAACGTACACAGCTGAACTTTAAGCAACAGAAGAGGATGAATGTTTCTGAACGATCCCTGATTTTCATCAGTGATGCTTTTTGTTTTTATAACCGACGATCTCAGGTTATTCCTATGCGTCCTCTCTCTCTCCAGTGTTGTAGCTGATAACTCTTACACTTATTAAAGCTCACCCTTGAACAAGACATTCTCCAATAAATGCTCTAGTAAGTGCCTTTACTGCAAAATCCTCGAGTAGACACTTGAGCTGTTAGTTAATATTTATACAGGTGGAGTTGGTGGCCCTTCACATTCATGGAATTCACCGCGGGTACAACACAGTAAAGTTGTTGTTTGTACCCCATCATACTGCCAGGGACCTTCACACACTCTGTAGTACAGGAACACCTGTTGGAGGCAATTGCACAGTGAATATCATAAAAGCATGAAGAACGAGTCTTGAGTAGCACTGCAAAGCCTACTGACCCTTCCTAAGCAGGTCATATCCACGCCCAGCCATTGTACTCTTATACTTGCCTAACCTACAGTTAACATTAGTCAAGGTGGTAGTTTCATTGACACTTTGTGATAGTTTGTTGTGATCGTGACTCTCCTTTTCCAGCAATCATCACTTATTTAAAAACTTAACTGCAGCTCATTATTAAGACAGTTATTTCATTAATGTTAACAATCACTTTCATATGCTTAATAGACTGACAGATTGTAAACATTATTGCTAAGTGGGTATTGTGTTGGATTCTCTTTTGACCTTTGTAAGCCCAATAAGGCTGAAACAGGTTGAAAGTGGCCTCTGTAACAGAGAAATATTCAATTTAGGCATTGGTCGCACTAGGATATTTTCATGAAATGCTTCGCTAACTGGGAGATTTGTTAGTTGATCAACTAACAAAGTGACCAGCGTGAGACCTTCCCTTCATCAAGAATACCCTTGTGTCGTGCAAGTCTTGATTGCACGCTAATTACGCAGATTATTGTCTGTTTTTTTTTGCTCTCTTCAAACTTGCTTTGCCGTGCTATCTTGTTCAAGACTTACCTCTGCTGGACCAAAGTTTTCATGCCCTTCGCGAGCCAGTTGTTGACATATGGCCTCCCCGAGCGTCTCTCCGTTCTCTAACACCGTATTCAAATCTCCTTCGCCGGTTAGCGCGTCCCACTGTAAATGAATGGAAATATAGATTTACACGTCTTGTAGACAATAGTATGCTAATATACTATGATTAATATACTATTGTATATTGATATACAATAGAGTATTAATATACAATAGTATATTTATGTACAACAGTATATTAATCATGAAAGAAAAAAAATCGCATTAACAATCTCTCTCTCTCTCTCTCTCTCTCTGCCGGGCCGCGGGGGCGTTGACCCCCGGAACTCTCTCCAGGTAAACTCCAGGTAAACACTGGCGATTCACACCAAGGCAAGGGTGGCCCGAAAAGGAAAAAATTATCACCATCATTCACTCATCACTGTCTTGCCAGAAGGGTGCTTTACACTACAGTTTTTAAACTGCAACATTAACACCCCTCCTTCAGAGTGCAGGCACTGTACTTCCCCCCTCCAGGACTCAGTCCGTCCGTTGCTGCGTTTCCCTGAACCCCTTCATAAATGTTACTTTGCTCACACTCCAACAGCACGTCAAGTATTAAAAACCATTCTCTCCATTCACTCCTACAAACACGCTACGAAACCCTGCGGAAGCCCAACCCCTCGCACACAAAAACCTCCTTTACCCCTCCCCCTCCAATTTTTCCCTAGGCCGACCCCTACCCCCCCTTCCTTCCACTAGGGGACTGAACACTTTTAAAAGCCCTTCGTTTCGCTCCATTCTCTCTACATGTCCCAACCACCTCAACAACCCCCCTCACCCTCGGAAAACATTTTTTGGAAAACCCCCGCACCTCCTCCAATTTCCAAACTACAATTCTCGATTAAATTCACACCACCATTGCCCTCTGACATGCATCTCCCGCCTCCACCTTTCCCCTCCCCGCTGCAAAACATTCATCACCCAGCTCACACCCATATAAGAGTGTTGGAAAACATACCTCATACTTCCCCTTTTTTGCCTCCAAGACAAAGTTCTTTGTCTCCACAAAACTCCAATCCCCCCTCACCCTTTTTTCCCCCCTCATCAATTCATGATTCACCTCCCTTCATAGACCCTCCGCGACACTCCACTCCCAAATATCGAAAAATTTCACCCCTCCATACCTCTCCCTCCAATCTAACCCAATCTTTCATCACCATATTTTTGTTATCCTCATAACCTTACTCTTTCCTGTATTCATTTTAATTTTTTTTCTTTTGCACACCCTACCAAAATCATCCCCCAAAATCTGCAACTTCCTTAAAGAATCCCCAAAGCACAGTGTCATCAGCAAAGAGCAACTGTGACAACTCCCACTTTAGGTGATTTTTACTTTTAACCCCATAGTAAGACCCTCGCATTTACTTCTCAAAACAACCCCATCTAAAAATATATTAAAAAACCACGGTGACATCATACACCCTTGTCTAAGGCCTACTTTTACGGGGAAAAAAATTTCCCTCTTTCCTATTTCCCCAAATTGAGCCCCCACATCCTCTAAAAAAATCTTTCCCCCGCTTTCAGTAACCTACCCTCCTACACCAACAAACCGCAACATCTGCCCATGCCCCCCTATCCACCCGCATACGCCTTTTTTTTTCCCCAAAACCATAAATGCCACAAAGACCTCTTTTTCCTTTTTCTAAATACTGTTCACTTTTTATGTTTCACTGTAAAAACCTGGTCCCCACCCCCCACCTTTCCTAAAGCCCCCTGTTCATCCCGCTTCCATTCTCGCTTACTTTTAATTCTTTTAAATAACTTTTACCATACACTTTAAAACCCGGGATACTCAACAGATTTAAAACCCCCAAAATTTTGCACCTCTTTTGTCCCTTTTTTCTTTAAACAAAGGAACTAGCATGCCTCTGCCCAAACCCAGATACCTTACCCCTTCCCTACATTTATTAATAATTGCACCAACAAATCCAAAAAATACATTCCCACCTGCTTTTAAAATTTCTATCTTTATCCCATCAATCCCGGCTGCCTTACCCCCTTTCATTTTACCTACTGCCTCACGAACTTCCCCCACACTCACAACTGGCTCTTCCTCACTTCTACAAGATGTTATTCCTCCTTGCCCTATACACGAAATCACAGCTTCCCTATCTTCATCACATTTAACAATTCCTCAAAATATTCCCTCCATCTTCCCATTACCTCTAACTCTCCATTTAATAACTCTCCTCTCCTATTTTAACTGACAAATCCATTTGTTCTCTAGGCTTCCTTAACTTGTTAATCTCACTCCAAAACTTTTTCTTATTTTCAAAAAAATTTGTTGATAAAATCTCACCCACTCTCTCATTTTGCTCTCTTTTTACATTGCTTCACCACTCTCTTAACCTCTCTCTTTTTCTCCATATACTCTTCCCTCCTTGCATCACTTCTACTTTGTAAAAACTTCTCATATGCTAACTTTTTCTCCCTTACTACTCTCTTTACATCATCATTCCACCAATCGCTCCTCTTCCCTCCCGCACCCATTTTCCCCTGTAACCACAAACTTCTACTGAACACTCTAACACTACATTCTTAAACCTACCCCGTACCTCTTCGACCCCATTGCCTATGCTTTCATTAGCCCATCTATCCTCCAAAAGCTGTTTATATCTTTCCCTAACTGCCTCCTCTTTTAGTTTATAAACCTTCACCTCTCTCTTCCCTGATGCTTCTATTCTCCTTGTATCCCATCTACCTTTTACTCTCAGTGTAGCTACAACTAGAAAGTGATCTGATATATCTGTGGCCCCTCTATAAACATGTACATCCTGAAGTCTACTCAACAGTCTTTTATCTACCAATACATAATCCAACAAACTACTGTCATTTCGCCCTACATCATATCTTGTATACTTATTTATCCTCTTTTTCTTTAAAATATGTATTACCTATAATTAAACCCTTTCTATACAAAGTTCAATCAAAGGGCTCCCATTATCATTTACACCTGGCACCCCAAACTTACCTACCACAACCCTCTCTAAAGTTTCTCCTACTTTAGCATTCAGGTCCCCTACCACAATTACTCTCTCACTTGGTTCAAAGTCTCCTATACATTAACTTAACATCCCCCAAAATCTCTCTCTCTCCTCTGCATTCCTCTCTTCTCCAGGTGCATACACGCTTATTATGACCCACTTCTCGCATCCAACCTTTACTTTAATCCACATAATTCTTGCATTTACACATTCATATTCTCTTTTTCTCCTTCCATAACTGATCATTCAACATTACTGCTACCCCTTCCTTTGCTCTAACTCTCTCAGATACTCCAGATTTAATCCCATTTATTTCCCCCCACCGAAACTCCCCTACCCCCTTCAGCTTTGTTTCGCTTAGGGCCAGGACATCCAACTTCTTTTCATTCATAACATCAGCAATCATCTGTTTCTTGTCATCTGCACTACATCCACGCACATTCAAGCATCCCAGTTTTAAAAAGTTTTTCTTCTCTTTTTTTAGTAAATGTCTACAGGAGAAGGGGTTACTAGCCCATTGCTCCCGGCATTTTAGTCACATATCGACACGCATGGCTTACGGAGGAAAGATTCTTTTCCACTTCCCCATGGACAATAGAAGAAATAAAGAAGAACAAGAGCTATGTAGAAAAAGGAGAAAAACCTAGATGTATGTATATATATATGCATGTGCATGTCTGTGAAGTGTGACCAAAGTGTAAGTTGGAGTAGCAAGATATCCCTGTTATCTAGCGTGTTTATGAGACAGAAAAAGACACCAGCAATCCTACCATCATGCAAAACAGTTACAGGTTTCTGTTTCACAGTCATCTGGCAGGACGGTAGTACTTCCCTGTGTGGTTGCTGTCTACCAACCTACTACCTATATATATACACATATATAATATTATTATATATATATATATATATATATATATATATATATATTTGATATTATATATATATATATATTATATATAGTATATTATATTTTATATATACTATACAAAACATGTTTGATGTATAGAAAAATTTAAAGCATCTAACCTGTTCCTCGCAATAGGCTGCACACTACTCAGTAGCTTCACAGTCTTCTACAGTTTCTGGAGGGAAGGGTAGTACATCAATCTCTCCATCAAACTCATTGACGAAGCCACCACAGAAGCATGCTGGTTCGTCCTGAGCCCTGTAGTAGTAGAGTAGTAGTAGTAGTAGTAGTAGTAGTAGTAGTAGTAGTAGTAGTAGTAGTAGTTGTAGTAGCAATAATAGTAGTAGTTGTAGTAATAGTAGTAGTAGAATCAGTAGTGTATTAGGAGAAGCTGCTTATTTTT